CTATGAACCAGGAGATCATGGTTCAATTCCCTGTCAGGGCACATGCCAGGGTTGCAGGCTCGATCCCCAGTAGGGGGTGTGAGGAGGCAGCTCATCAGTGACTTTCATCGTTGATGTTTCTCTCTCTGTCTCCCTTTCTCTCTCTGAAATTAATGAAATAAATAAAAACAAAAAATGCTGACCTGGTTTAATTATTTTTAAATGATTTTTAAATTTATATATCAAAGTAGATGCCCACCTTATCCCCTCATTCCTACCTCCCCTCCCCAGCCCCATACCATCAGAATCTAGAAGATTTGCATAGCATTATGAAAAAGTTCACATAGCATAATGAACACGCAATAAATCTTTGTTGAAAGAGTGTGTTCTATGTTATACCCTTCCAAAGCAGAAACTCTTAACATTGTGTTCGTTAATTAGAGGAATACTTTTGAGTAATTTTCTTTTGACTTTGTTTTCCTTACCTTTATAACATTTGATTCCCTTTAGGGAATATTGAACTTTGTATGTATGATGGTCTTATCTTAAAAAAATACAAGAAACAAACAAAAACCTAGTCATTCCTAAGTATGAAATCTTTTCTCAATAAAAGTTTAGCAATCTTTCTTTCCACATTAGAAATGTAGATGTGAGATTCATACTGCTTCTGTCACCCCAGTTTCTCAAAGAGGTATACAAATGAAAATATATAATGAGAAGTTATTTGGACTGATTCTCTAGCATTTTAATTGACTAGGCATCTTACTGGATTGCTTTATTTAGAAAGCACATACTCTTTGGTCTTCTCCATATTATAATACAAAGATAAGTATTTATTTGATAACTATGACAATTTTTAAGAGACATTACAATATCTGATTTACCAGAAGAGTGTATTTGCAATGCAGTTGGTGAGCCTTTTAAAATCTTATGGGAGCAAAGGATTGCAGTACCACTACAGAACTTTTTAGTTTTATGAGATAGTTAAATGAATGAAGAGATAGAAGTGGTAAAAGGTGAGTGTGTGGGTTTCCTAGTCACCAAAATAAAGGTAAGTAATTGAAGAGGATTAGGTGCCTTGTGGTGTAATAGAGTTAGGCTCAGGTTGCTTCCTTTCTATTCCATTAACTTGCTCTTTGACCTTGGGCAAGTGCCTTCACCTTTTTGGTCTTAATAAATAAGGATGCCTGGTTAGGTGAGCCAAAGGGCTTCTTTAATCCTGAGACATACCATTTTTATATAACACAGACTATGTAATGTTTATGTTATTTTATTGGGCGGCCTGTATAAACTCAAGTGTAATGTGTTTGCTTGTTCTCCCAAGGGTTAAGGGCTCGGAGTGCAGAAAAATAGCCTTCCAGTTCCTCTTCAGGGAGTTTGCATAGTTACTTCTCACATCCGAACGAACAGTTTATCCTGCTTTCCTCTTAAACGGGTTGTTATGCTTTTAGTCCCATTTTTCTCTTTTGTCTTTTTCAATCCGCACTTCTGAGTGGGGGGGGGG